CTTCAGAACCGCCACCACAAAGTTTGGTTCCTTACCTTGCAAGCAAAATGTTTTATGTATATTCTGAAGAGGTATATCTCTATCTTTTTTATAATACTATTTTTTCATAAATGCATAGTACTTTCTTTGCTTCTAAATACAGGACTCAGGAGTTAGTTGAAGAGTTTCTTTTGATCTTAAATGTAAAACTTCAATCTACTTTGTTTCCAATTATATAATGTTTTTCAAACTAGTCCTACGGTTTTTATCAATAGAATAGTTTCTAGAGTAAATTGGCTTAATGACTCTGAAAAATATATTAACAAGAAATTGTGGAAGAAGTTTTTAAAAATTCTAGAATGTGGTTCATTTATAATTAGTTGGGTTGCAATTTTTTATTTTTATTCCCAAAACAAATAAAAAAACTTGTGTAACACTAGTAAAACTTTTGTAACTGAATTATTATAATCTTGGTTTATTTACAATCATATATTGTTTTAATATTTGAACACTTTTAAATACTTTATTGTTAGCTTAGTGAGCAAAATATATTCAGATATGAGAATGAGAATGAGATTTCAGGTTTGAAAAAAAAGAGTATTTTTTTTTATTTCAATCTAACTTAAATATTAATCTGGTTGCATCGTAAAATATTTAAAATATTAGGCTATTATTTGTTTGGTCTTAGTAAATGGGTCATGTGTGCATGAGTTCATAGGTTATAATGCAAGTGATTAAAAGAGTATTTTAGAAAAATTAATCATGACCTCTTTTTTTTTTTAATAAATAACTAACTAAATTAGTCACATCCTTATTCTTCGATGCAAGTGTTGTTGGGAATGTTGGATCTGACTCAGCCTGGTTTCACCAAAACATTATAATAGATTTGTGATTCAGGGACTTCAAGGTATTCTAAATGAACAATGTATTTATGAAGAGTGATATGGCTAAACATGACTTTTTTAAAATGGATCATGGATGTTGAATTAGATTATTAATCGCACATGTACTAAAAATATTGTATTTTTTTAAATAAAGTATAATTAGGATTGTATCATTTTTTTAAGTCTATGCCCCCGTTATAAAGATACTCAATCAGTTGCTCCAAGTGTGACGCATTAAATCATAACACTCAAATCTATTTAATCAAGTTTCATCTTTGTAAGTTGGCTTTTAATATATAGGGTATATCCCTCTCTTCTACCAAAACAAAAAAATCTATTTAATCAACATCTGAATAAAATAAGATTATACTTGAGTAAAATAAGATAATACTTTAGTAAGAAATTTCTTCAGAAGAATGACAATTGGGGACCCTAGCTAAAAGAAACATTATGGGATTTTGATCTCTTAAATTTAAAAAAAAAAAAATTAACCATTCGAATCCCAAGGGTTTTTAGTAGAATAAAAAATTAAAGCGCAATTACCAAAATGTCTCTCCTTTTCCCCCTTCATTCTCTCTTCCTCCATCTAACATTGCCGCCATGGCCAGTGTCTCTAGAAAGTAGCAATTAATATCATTTATATCTTGCAATGGTGAGAGCCACAATATTTTAGCAATAGATCAAGGCGATTCAAGCTATAATTTTGAGGAAATGACTTGCATAATTGACCATGCAATTGCAATCTCATACCTACGAGTAGTAGGATCAAACCCTATAGTATATAATATGTAAGAACGATCTGTAATCCTAACTCCATGAAAGAGAGGGGAATATGAAGAACCCATATACGTAATGCAAAAGCCTGTACTACATAAAAAAACACGAATGTCATAATAGCCATTGCAATTTCTACCCTTCCATTGGACATTAAAATTGTTACTGCTTAGGAACTAGCAGGCACCCAAAAATTTTCCTCCATCTAATATTTTAAATTCATAATTCAAAGATTATTTGTATTTTTCTTTCATTTTAAAATAAAACTGCTGGGAAAGAGAAATTTTAAATCTGCACCATCCAAATAAAATTTATTTATTAATTTATTCAAGTGAGGAGATGTGATGCAAACCCAATTTTAATAATACATGGGGTTGCTTAACTAATTAGCTAATTTTATCGTGTTTTGCCGTCCCTTGTTACTGCTACTACTTAATTTTGTTTATACTGAAAAGTGGTAAGTGATGACTACTACTGACCTTTTTTTTTTTAATACCTCAAATATATTTTATAGTATATAACATTGGGAGAATTTTATCTAGATTTCACATTAAGAAATTAATTACTGTAAAATTCATTAATAAAAGTTAGGCCATTTACAACAGTTGAAATACATTCAATACAAAATACCGGTTTGAGAGTCGTAGCCGGCATGTTTTGGCGTAATGATTGAATTAGAGATTAAGACTAAATAGGAGTCACTGGTTCAAGTTTTGAACTGGGGACGTTTAGACCATAACATCATCAATTTTGGAGTTTATTTAAATTTGCTTGAATCAGATTGGTTGCATTCTTGCATTTGAACGTGAGGGTGCTTAATGAATGTGAGGCAGTTTTTTATATTGCTGCATTTGAGAGGCTAAAATGGGGTATTTTAGGATGAAATTTGGCCCATTAATAGATCTCATATAGAGATTCTAGTGTGCCAAATTTGGTGGGAATCTAAGTAGAATTTGATCGTCAAACAACTTTTGAACTTCAGGTCAGAACCTAAACTTTTTGCTGTCATTTTTCTAGTTGATAATATTGTGCTCAAAATCTGTAATTTTTAGTTGTCATAGAGCCTTGAAACATATATGGCATAAAGTAGACATATAGACTATAGAGCTCAGAAATTTGGAATAAGCCAAACTTTGTTCAATTTGAAATCATAAAGCTCAAGGAATGAATTTTTAAAGTTAGTCTACGATATCAGAAATTTTACAGCTCAAGAGTTACTTTGATGAATTTTTATGTACCAATGTAAACGTAGTCTGATTCTGTAATATTTATAGATAGGACATTCAAGGTGTTGAGGCGATTTATCTACTAAGGGGATTAATGGAAAAGTATTGTTGTAAAAATAAAGATCTACACATGGTTTTTATTGATTTAGAAAAAGCTTATGACCGTATACCAAGAGAAGTGTTTTGGAAAGCGTTGGAAAAAAAAGAGAGTACGGATTGCTTATATTAAAGCCATACAAGATATGTATGAGGGGGTAAAAACTAGTATAAGAACGCCTAGTGGTCAAACAAAGGATTTTCCTATAAAGATTGGACTACATCAAGGATCATCTCTGAGTTCTTATTTGTTCAACTTGATTTTAAATGTTTTGACGGAACATATTCAAGAGGAAATCCTGAAATGTATGCTCTTCGCGAATGATATAGTTCTTATAGCAGAGACAAGAGAAGAGGTTAATTGCAAACTTGAGTTATGGAGAAGGACATTGGAGTCGAAAGGTTTTCGTCTGAGTAGAAGTAAGACGGAATATTTATATTGTAAATTTGGTAAAGGACTATTCGAAAATAATTTGGAAGTGAAATTGAGAGATCAAATTATACCTCAAGTGAAAAAGTTTAGATATTTGAGAGCCATTATTCAAAATGATGGCGAAATCAGTGGAGATATTTCACATAGAATTCAAGCTGGGTGGTTTAATTGGAGAAAAGCTAAAGGAGTTATTTGTGACCGTAAGGTGCCTAATAAACTTAAAGGAAAGTTTTATCGCACTGCTATCGGACCGGCAATGTTACATAGTAGTGAATGCTGGGCTCTAACGGGACAGCAAGAGCATAAAGTTGGAGTAGCAGAGATGAGAATGTTACGATGGATGTGCGGACATACACGTAAAGATAAAATTCGAAATGAGCACATACGCGAAAAAGTGAGAGTGGCACCTATTGAGGAAAAAATGGTAGAAAATCGGTTGAGATGGTTTGGGCATGTACAAAGAAGACCAAGGGAGGCACCAGTGAGAAGAGTGGAACATATAATTTTGAGTTCGATTAAGAGAGGTAGAGGAAGGCCTAAGAGAACACTCTTGGAAGTTGTTGAACATGATCTCTTAATTAATAATATTCCTAAAAGCTTGATAAATGATAGAGCACAATGGCGTCTTGCAATCCATGTAGCCGACCCCACCTAGTGGGATAAAGGCTTGTTGTTGTTGTTGTTGTTATTGTTTTTGCTGTTGCCTTTTTCTTCTTCTTGTTTTTTTTTTCTTGGGTTCTTCTTAGCTGGGCTGTTTGATCCCTGTTTGTACTTTGCTTTATTTTCTGAATGAAATGATCCTCGTATTATTAAATAAAAAAAAGTGCTGAGTGGTTGGCTATGCATATTTTTTGAGAACATGCCAGAAATAGTCAACTTTAGCATGAATATATCTGATGATTCTAGCTTGAGAGTTTTGATCTTGAGAGCGAATTTCTACAGAGATTGTGTCATAAGCAATTAGCATTATCATATTTTGTAAGTTTGAGGTTGGTTTAGACAAACCTAATTTTGTAAGAAAACCTAGTTGGGAGTTGGTGTTATTTTGACAGTGAATTGTGAAAAAAAAAAAAAAGAGCATATCACTTCTTGGGTTGGGTTTTCTCAAAGAAGTTTTGGTTTCAATTTTGTTATTTGTTTCTAGTTGATCCTTAGAAGTCATCCATTTTCAATCATACTTGCGCTGAATCATGTTTGGAAGGCATTTAAACCAAGCTATCTCCTGTAATGAGGACAAGCAAGACAAGTTTATAAAAAGAATATATTTCAAAAAAATTAGTTTTACTGGATAAAAAAGCCGTTCAAACTTATAAACTTGTAAGATTTTTTAACGCAAAACTCATAACATATTATCACCCCATTTGAGAGTTAATATTTTTGATGGATTCCACGACACTTTATTCAATCTTTTGATAGTTAGAACTTCCATAAATAAATATTTTCATGATATTAGCATCTCAAAAAATTAATTTGTTAGTTGGAAAAGACTCTTCTTAAAATTATAAACTCCACTTTACTTGTTCTTCTACTCAATCAATGAAAATCATCAAACTAACTTGCAAAGTCTGTTGGGGTACAGAGAAATGGAGGTCTGAATGCAGAGTTGGATTGCAAGGAATATTGTAACATTTATATTCTGGGAACGTTACAGTACATTACAGCAATTACACACAGAAGTTACATATATTCTTATGAATCATTACAATATATATATCTATATAATCTTAATTTCTTATGAAGCGCTATAATTTCTTCGTTTGTTTGTTTTGTTTTGTTTTGTTTTGTTTTTTTCCTGAGTGAACTTATGGAGTACTATATTTTGACGGCACCGCTTGTATCTTATTTTAGTACACGAAGTACGGGGGACATCCGGGAAGGATCTGTACTTGGCTTCTACACCAAATTGAGAGATTTTATTGAAGGTTCTATGCATAGAGGACTCGTCGGTGATATTCTCCAAGAGCCCAGATCGGAAAGATGTTCCGGTAAGACGAGTAGTTCAAGGTACAGTTCCTCATAAATACTCCGGTGATCTCCTGTAATGTTCATAGATTCATGAACGATGAATTTGAAAGCACGTTAATAATTATATTATTCGGTACAGAAATGATTGAAAAATTGCAGCGTGTCGCATCGATGATGGCATTATCTTTCTGAGAACCAAATAGGATATTTGTTAAAAAAGAACAAAAAACAAAAAATGTCGAATTGATTATCGCATTACCTGCTGTGGGAAGTCTCCATCTTCCATTTGTGAATTGATCAATAGCCTTATTCCGCGGTGTATAGGTGTTGGATCTATCTCAGCCTGTTTTCACCAAAACAATATAGCGAATTTGGGGTGATTTAGGGTACTTCAATGCATGCTTGATCAGGAATGTCCACCAAAATAAAAATAAAAATCTAATTTAGTTGAATAGTTTTGCTTTTACTAACCTGCCCAGCATCAATGAGTGATAATAGAGCCCATGCAGTCTGAACTAAGTTTGCACGGTTGCCTTCTATATTCGTGTAAACCTGTTTGGCAAGAAAGGCACGTGAATATCAAGTCTCTTCTATTGCTTCTATTTTTCCCTCTTTTACTAATCAGTATGTAACTTTCAAGTGCAATTTGTAATGTCTATCATATTAATATATATTAGAAAATTTATATAACAAGTCCCCTCGTATTACGAGTCATGAATAATATAGCTTTTTTGTGAGACTTTATAATATGTAATATAACAAAAATATATCTTGTGTGATATATACAAGTGTTGCATGAAAAACATATTGCTTACCTTATTTTGACTTGACAGGTAGCTCTCTCCCCAGCCACCATTAGGTAGCTGCTTTGACAACAAAAACTGGCAAGCTTTGCGCAAAGCCTCACAGTTCTGGTAATTTCTCCCACAGGACGTTAGTCCCTCTACAGCAAACCAGGTACCATATGTGTAACATATTCCCCAACAGCCGTACCTGTGGAATTGATTTTTTCTTAGAGAACAAGATATGTAAAAAGTATGTTAGGCACCTTAATATCCAAATACAGTTCTTAGTGCTTGTATGAGTTACTTGGTAAATAGCACAGTAGTCTATTTTCGGAGGATGTCAAAGAGATTAACATGTAATGCGTAAATTCTTGTTAAAATTAATTTAGACCATGCATCAGTTGGGTTGATGAAAAAATGGAAGTTATAGCTGTACAGTTAACTATTGTGCAAGAAGGGAGATAGATGTAAAGCATTAAAAATGAAGTAGAATACCATGAACCATCAGGATTTTGTTTGTCTTCAAGGTATTGAATTGCTTTAGCAATACTGTGATCTATTTCTGTTCTTCTATGCTTTGGGTACAACTTTCTAAAGAGCGCCAAACCCTGTATTGCTGACCCTGTGCACTCCACATACCTGTTTCATAAAATGGCACAGTGTAAGAGTCGGATAAGCTGCAATAACCAGTACATTAATTATTTGATTACAGCATTTTTAACGGCACAAATCTTACTCCATCTCAATTAGAGTGTCTTCAAAGAATTCTGTTGGATTAAATTTCTGCAAAACGCATGAATGTCACTTTGTTTAGATTTGCTCCTCAATTTTTTGCATACTCAACTTTTTTTCTTCTTACCTCTAACCAACGGTAGGCCCTCTGAGGTTCCCAAGCTGGGAATCCACCATTGCTACTCTGTATGTGAAATCAACCATATGTGGAATCAAGCATGTTTAGGTTTCTATTAATGATTGGCTGTTCTGCTTTGGAGAGAGAATAGATTGTAGTTAGAAAGGCTTACTTGCAGAGAAAGGATGACATTAACAGCATCATAGAAGCGTTGTGTTTCCATTTTCTCCCCTACTAGATCAGTAGGCATTTGAGAGAACAAGAGTGCAGCCTGCAATAAGATGCGGAAAAATGATCCAATGTAAAAGCTGTAGTCACCTGAGAACATTTTTCCAATATAAAAAATCACTTGCACTTTCAAATATTCATATGAACCTTGAGTCCTTCTGCTGTGCAATCAGAGACTTGCCAACCATGATCTTGCATTGAGAATGTCCATGATCCTTTGCATATGTGTCTGAACATGGCTTTGAAGTCACCTGAAGGGTTGTCTCGCACCTTCAAATATATTCAAGTCTTTAGATTCAATTGAAAACAGAGAGAATTTAACCGGACTAACTGCCATGGATGAAGTGACAAGTTGTAACCTGTGAAGCCTTCACAAAGTCATGTGCTTTTCGAAGTGTAGGTCCATATTCTTCATTCAGATTACAAGAAAGGATTGCTTGTATAGCAAACGCTGCATCCCACATTTGACACCCAAAACTCTGTATGTGCATAAAAATTATCATCACATTTTTCTTGTTAGTGATTATAATAAATTTATTGATAACTTTTTTGTATAACTTTAAGATTTTAATTTGAAATTTTTAACTCAAAATGCAGATAAACTAGTTATAGTACTAACCTGGATTTTCAAGCCGTCCTCAGCGAGCCAGAAGTAATCAGGAATTCTGGCCAGATGAAGTCTGTATGCCTCTGAGTTGGGGTCTTCAACCCAACGGGCTATCAAACATAACACCTGTCATGTCCATGCAGTAACAATATTACAACCTGTTCAGATAAACTCAAAGACATTGGTGAATTTTTAAAGTCTGTTCGTATATATAAAATCTGGAGGAACTGGTACTCGCTAGCTAAGAACAGTACTAGTTCCACCACCTTTCTGGGCTGCGTTTTTTTTTTTTTTTTTTTGCCTCTTCCTTCTTGATGTTGAGATGTATGCAATAAAGCTTCTATCTCAACCTGTACAGGTTATGGGCACATCTAGTCATGTGTAGTGTACATATACAATATATATACATACCTTTTCTACGCTGCCAATGCAAAGGTATCTACTGTTCTCATCCTCATAGCGGACATGATTGATTGCGGTTTCAATTGCCTTCTCTCTCAGCATGGAAAAAGGCCAGCATTTCAGAATGGGCTCTGCTACGTGATGAAGAAATCCCCACAACATATCTTGAATAAGTGGGTGCGGATAGTACAGGTCCTCCTGAAATATTGTGTTTACACGCAATTCAATTCACTTCGTCTTTACACGCAACTAACATTAATTAAAAGATTAATCTAACCTTTGCAACCATGTTTCGGGCTTTATTCCAGTTGATCTGGTCATAAGGTTGGTTGTACAATTCTTCTCTTATTGATTTGATTAAGCTAGTGATAGGACCCACAAACCTCTTGCCATATAAATATGACATAGGCATGTAAACCAGGCGACAATAGCACAGCATTTTGCCTGCAAAAATGGGGTCACGTACAGAGATGCAATTAAATGGTTTCAAAGTAAGATGCTAGGAATGAGTTAAGGGCACAAACTCGGATGAAACGGAGCGCTCTTAGGAAGAAGCCAGAACTCTGGTGGAAGAGGGTTGCATCCTGACCAGTCATATACACCTAGTACCTGTGCCCCATAACAAAATGGCTTTTTAAAATATTACCATTAATACTAAATGTGTACAATTTTCTTTATCAAGTTCCTAGTCAAGTTTTGAATTAAGAGAGGGAATACCGTGGCCCAGAACTTTCCCCAAGAGGGAATAGCGACTAGGCCACCACGGTCAAGGATCCATTGTCTGCCTCTAGCCATAGCTCTGTCTTCACCATCTTCGGGACCCTGTCCCAGAATCCTCAATGCTATGTAGCTCAGTGCTGACCCAAACATGGTGCTGTGCCCCTCTATGTGGAATCCCCATCCTCCATCTTCGTTCTGTCGCATTCACTCACTTACTCTTCTTAGTTATTCTTATTTGAAACACAAGAAGGCTAAGAGTTCAGAGTACCTAACCTGATGATTATACAAGTACCGTATGATCTCCTTCTGATGTTCTGGCCCTAATACTGCATTAAGGGATCCTGTTATATACAGAGCCATCACCTGCACATGTTCAACGTTTATTAGCTTTCCTATATTATGTGTAATTTCTTACAAATTTTTATCTAGGAGACCTATTAATGCTAAGTCAAATTCACATGCTATCAGTAATTAATTACCTTACCAGGGGCCTTATATAATCTAAGTAGTGTCATGTACATTTTAAGAAACTAAATTATTTATTTAGTTACAAACAATGGAACTTATTTGTCAAACTCGGTAAAATATGGAGACAGAAGCTATATAAAATTTTCGTAGTTTTTTTTATTGTGCACATATATTCTGTTAGAAATCATTCTATTTTATTACCAAAAAGAAAAAAAAAAGAAGAAATCATTCATTTTATTAGCAATAATTCTATTCAAATTTTGGTTCGTCACATTATAAGGAATTAGCCCATTTTGTTAGACTCAACTTCAAATAGTAATTTAATTTTAGTTTTTTTGGGTAAAGGGTAATTTTGGTAGTTGAAGGAGAAAAGGTTTGTTTACCAAGGGCTGAAGGAAGAAGAGTGGGCCAGCAGATTCAGCAGGCCAGTGACCATCATGGGCTTGAATGGTGGAATAGAAACTGATGGCCCTTCTCATTGTCGTTATCACTGCTTGCTCTGTGATCTCCTCCGCATCTCCCACTTTTACTGCTTCTGGAATCGCCCTACTTGGATTCTCCTTTCTCAGCTGCAATGCAAACACACCAGTTTTTTATTTCTTTATACTCAACCTCTTGTTCTACATTCCATCTTTTTAAAGCCAAAAAGCAATTTCTTTTTTTATTTTAAAAAAGAATATATATATATATATATATATATATATATTACAGCTTGCTCCAAGAAGACAATTAGTCAAATTTTCTCTAGGATTACCCCGACAAACGGGCAAGGAAATTTCTGAAAACTTGCACGGATGATCAACCCAATTCCAGTATTTTTGCCTTTTGTGCTTTCCTTTCCATGTTTGTTATTCTTTTGCGTCTGGTTTACTTCATTTTCTCCTTAAGACTTAAGCTACATAACTTTGTACTCATTGTTCATGTGTTCGTGCCTTTTCTTTTTTTGGGTAAAGATGTTTTCGTAGATTCAATATCTCGATGAAATGAACAGATCCTAATCCTTAAGGACTCGTTTGGTTTAAGCTCTCACTCGACACCAACTCTGTCTCCACCTCCACCTTCTCTCATTCTTGTCCTCTCTGTCAGCAATTGTCTCCGTCTTTCCGATCCTAAATTTAGGGTAAAGTTTTAAAACCTTGTTTAGTCTTAAATATAGGATAAAGATGTTTAATTTTTTCCCCCAATATTGTCTCTTCTTAATTGTACCAATTAGTAATTTTTAGAAACAATTTATTGTAGTTATTAATTTTATAAAAAAGTTAAATACTATTTTTTACAAGTTTAAGAGTATTAACTATAATTCCTTAAAAAACCCTAATATATAATTAGGATTAGACGGAGTATTATTTTTACATATTTATGCTAACTCAGTACTCTGTGTTACTGTTCCCCCATCTGAATTTGTATAGACCTTTCCTTCTTTCATTTTTTTTTCTTCATACAATGGTGGTGTTTTATTTATATTAGGCGAATTCTTCTTTCATTCTGATTCTTTATTCATGTGTTGGAATTTTTTTTTTAATGTCTTTCATTATATACAAAAGAAAATAATAAATAATTGTAACATAATCATTCCTAACAAAAAAAAGTTAAAAAAAATAAATAAATAAATTATCATGAATGCAACGGTCAACTTATTTTAATATTCCCTGCCGTTAGCGGTTGAAGCAAAAACATGTGAAGGGACAGGTATGCATAGGACAAGGTAATTAAATGCCTGATATGTTTTGTTAGAAAAATTAAATGTCTGATTTGATATGTATTTATTCCTCCATCCATTTCTTGTAAGGTTAGATAAATCTCTTCTTCTAATGGCCCTTAAGTCTTTATGGTGGTTGGCACTTGGCAACTGCAGAAAGGTGGATTTGATTGCCTTCAATATATGAACATGGACACGTACCTGGATGTTTGACATTATGGCAGCGGATCATTTTCATACGTTATTTGTTTTTTTTTGAATAAAATTTAATGTGAGTGTGACCGTGATACTGGTAATTTTGTGGCCTGATCACAGTCTTTATACTTATAAATTATGAATAATATGATTCGCCATAAGTTTTACAAATAATATGATCATGTTTTCCAAAAACATCACTAGTTGATGCTCGATGCATAACATAATCCAACCCTAGAGACATGCCTAGAAATAAGGGATTTAATCAATTTGCAGATATTAATCAGATTATTAAGATACAATGACATTTTTGACACCCATGTGACCTTACCAAACATAAAGTTGAGGGTTCTGCATCTACTATTCTTGTTAAGGTATGGGTGGGTATGTAAATAGGTTTGTGGGGTAACCTCAACAACATTTTATTAGTTGAATTAAATAAAATTTTATATGTCAATATTTTTAATGATTTTTAATAAAATATCTCTTTAATTTCTTGAATTGTCTTTTTCTCTTGTCATTATAAATGAGAGGAAAGAGAAAATATAAAAAATTAAAATAATTTAAAGTGACATAAATGAGGGATAACTCTTAATATACTCCAAGATAATTTAAAATAAAAGTATGCATATTAATAAAATTTTATAATAATACTCTACAAACTAACATTTTTCAAAACAAAATATATTCCAAAAACGCCTTAATTTAATATGATTTTAAATTTATATACTTAATCATTACACTATATATTTGAAAGATAATATTGAAAATATATCATTAAAATTTTATTTTTGTCAAAATTATCTCATATTTTGGAACAACTAAATCCTCCAAAATTATTTTATAATTTGGGACATAAGGAGTTGATTGTTTCAATAAAAAAAATCTCATTAATTATACATTTGTACTCATAATTAAGGATATATTTTTTTAAAAAAGTGCTAATTGTATCTTAAAATATTCAAAAACTTTTATATTTTTAAATATGACACTTAAAAAAAGTGTTTTATAATATTAAAGAAAGAGAATACTTAATTTTCCTTATTTTTTTAAATAAAAAAAGCCAGATGGAAGCCATTTTTTTAGGCTAAAATAAATTTCCTAAACAATTCAGGCGAAGGAATCCAGAGACGACAATGAAGATATGCAAATCCAAAATTTGTGTCAGATCCGTTAAAGGCATTCATAAAAGGGTTAACCGTGAAGTAATGTTATAGAAAAAGCTTTACGTACTATATATATATATATATATATATATATATATTTTTAATTCTTTATAAAGTTTATGTATTTTCAATCTTTTACTATAACACTTTTTAATAAAAAAATACTGATAATAAACTTTTAAATATTGATAAATTTTTTAAATTATTGATATATTAAATTTAATTTTTTTAAATAATTATTATTTGCATAAAAAATTATCATTTAAAACCAATAAGTGTTAAAATTAAGAGGTTTTGCAGATATAATTTATGTTATAGAACCAGCTTAAGCAAATAACTCAACATTTATTATATTTTGCATTCTGGCTAGTTTATCATATTTGTCAATGATATACCATTGTATATTAATAATAAACTCCTTATAAATTTTTAATGATAAACATCTTATATATTAATATAAATTGATCATACTTTCAAATTTTAAAAATTTGGTTTATATTTTTTGAATACAAAATTTTTTTAAATCAATGGGCCAATTTATCCTTAAAGTTAGAGAACGGAAAAAAAAAAAAACTTTACAAAAGTTCAAAAAACTAAACGAAAACTTTATATGAAATGAGAAGACTTTTGTGCGCTTTTACCTTAAGCTTAATTGTTCCATCTTTCATTTGCAGTGATAATACATATATGAAAAATGTAAATTATATATTAGAAATTTTTAACATACTCTTAATTTAGGGGGTTTTTTTGGCATAAAAAGGCATTCAAGCCCAATCCTTAATTATAAGTCTTTTAAAAATGGCCTTAAGCTACTCTTTTTAAGATATATATTTTTTCTCTTTCTTTTTTCAAACAGCATGGGATTGAAATTATTGAAAATGAGTTGATTGAAATGGTTAATGTTACAAAAATAACACAGCTGAATTTTTTTTCCTTATTTTTATTTTTAAATTAAAAATTTAAATAAAAATATTTTAAAAATTGTGCAGGCTTTTGAATCTAGTTCTAAACCTTGTTAATAATGGTCAGACTTAAAAAATATGATCAATTTAAAATGTACTGCTAATTAACTTAAACTCTGGGAGCATGTGGGCATATAGGAGGGGCAGAAATGTGGGAGAAAAAAATGCAGGCAGAGAAAGAGGAGCAGAAACGACGTCGTGGTACATATGATGAAATTACCTGGAGGCGCATCAAAAGGTCAGCGCTTTGCCTGACACGAAAGCGATTGAGTTTGAAATGATGGCGAAGTGATTCAATCTGCGCGCGTTCTTCAGCAGTGCCTGCTCCTGCATCGAATTCCCAGTGCTGCCTTCCCACAAAGTTGTTCACCGACACTAAGTCCCTCCCTCCTTCTGCTATCTTCAGCCTCCACATCTTCTTCTTCGATCTCTCTGGCGTCTCTGCCTATTCACAAATATCATATGCGTTATTTTCATATATATATATATATATATATTTCTGGAGATTTTTCAGATAACAGAGCAATAATATTTATATCTATATATATATATATATATGTGGTGATCGACTTGCGCATCAGTGGCGAATCGTTGTGTTTTTGGCGTCACGGAGGAAGATGAAATGCAGAAAATAAGAGAGAGTTAATGGTGCTATGTAAATGCATGAGAAGGAGCCTGCCTATGAAGCTCTTATGCATGTAGGAGGATAACGATATATAGAAACAGATTAATTAATTGGAGAGAAGAAGAGGAAATAGCAGAATCCGGGAACGAAGAGAGTCTGATGAGACAAGATTGGTTTCCCAGGAAAGCAATAAAAGATGATGTTAGAGAGAGAGAGCGTACAGGAGTGTGAGAGATGAAGTGGGATGATTAAAGGCGAGGCTATGTGAGTGTATATATAGAGATGTATTGACAATACAGGGAGCGGAGAGAGAAAGAGAGAGAGAGAGATGATGAGGAGGAGGAGGTTAAGAAATACAAGGATGCTTCCATAAAGTAATAACTTAATGTGATTCACACAATAATTTGGGAGGAGGCTAAGATTAATTTAATGATATTAAATTAATTTTGTCCTCATTAATTTTATAGCTTTTAAAAACCCAACTGCCTTTTGCCATCCACTCGGTTTCTTTTGTTTCTACATATTTTGAGATATATATCTTTTGCTTCCTCCTGCAAGCTAATCAATACAAATATTGTATGCATTCTCTCCTCTTTGGTCTTCATCATCATGTTTGTTTTCTTTTTCTTTATCTTAATTCAATGTAGTCAAAACTGAGTCTATTTAATTTATAAATCATTTACTTCTAACTATTTTACTAATGAAAAATAATTAAATTATTGATGTTATGTTAAAAAAATTTATCAATTTACTCTTACTAAATACATTATTTTTAAAAATATTTTTCTTTCATATAACTTTTTAATTATTTTTTACTCATTGAAACTTGTGAAAGTCTAAATTTAGGAGAAAGTGATTAATAATATAATCAACTTTTTTATGTAAAATTGGCCCAAAAAAAAACTTTTTATGTAAGGTGACTCATAAAAAAGATCATGAATACCTTCTAGAACATGAGAGAGTATCTTCAATCTTCTAATTTAACTAATTTAACATAAAATTTTAACTTGGCCTCTTTATTTTATTAATTGTTTTACACTCATCTAGCGTAGACATCATTAACTTTATTAAAAGAAAATGCCGACAATACAATTTTAAATGCTGACAAAAAATTTGAATCAATTTATTTTTTTAAAAAAGTTATATATATTTAACATATTAATATTTGAAAAAGCTTTATCAATATTTAAATTTATAATGTTAGCTAGCATTATATTTTCTATTAATAAGAGACAAACTATATTAGGGACAGAGGAGTAAAAAAAACATTTTATAAAATTAATAGATCAAGTTAAAAGCTATATAGAATAATAGGATCACATATGCACTATTCCTTTTAATATATATTAAAATCACCTTGTCAAGCTTCTTAAATTATTTCTGATTACTGTACCAATAAATTAAAGTGCATGTTTGGGTTAGTTTAATTCAACACACAACTAATAATCGAGTTGCACCGTTATGCAATACAACTAATTGGACACAGTATTTATTGTAAAATTGACTCTTACCTAACACACATTAAAATTTAGGTTTTGATCCTCTAACTTCATATAATTTTCAATGTAATCATTTACTTTTATAAAATATCTTTCTAATCTCTTAATCTTAATACTGTTAGTTTTACGTGATTATTTTTTATGCCAACTATTATTATTTTAAAAAATTAAATTTAATGCGTTAATATTTAAGAATATTTTATCATTATTTAAAATTTTAATGTGAAAAATTTATACGATAAAACTAACAGTGTTCAAAATAAAGAATTTTAAAGATACTTTATAAAATTAAGGGATTAAAATAAAATATTATTTAAAGTTAAAGGATTAAAAGTGTATTTTAACCTAAAATTTATAAAAATAATTTAATTAAGTGAATTACCCTATTTTCACAGAATATTACAAGTTGTGAATAATAAAATGCTCCCCTAAATCATGCAAATTAATATAATGCCAATTTGTAAGCTCTCTCAATTTGAACTACTCCCTCCTTCTCAATTTATAACATACTTTTAAGAAAAATTTAATGTTTTAAAATACAAGATATTTTAATAAAAATAAGTTTTGTCAATAATATTTTTGTAATATTTTTCTTCTCATTATATTCTCTTTTTATTTAATATTCTTTCATAAATAAAATATTAAATGTGAAGGGAATTTTAAATATTTATATTTTTATTTAAAAAATAAAATTATAAAGTATATTTAATGAATTTTATTATCATAAAAGATTTTGTCCAAAAAGTACCTTATAATTAATTAGGACGGATATAGTAGTTATCTTTTTTTGAATGAAATATAGTATAATTAGGACGGAGATAGTATTTATCTTAATTCCAAGTTTCCAACGCAAAATCCTTGTTTCTATAAGAATTATGAACTTATCTAGTTTTATTTATAGAATAAAGAGAGAAGATTAATTTGATCTTATTTATGGAAAATCTTACTATTTTCCATGCCCATCTTTACATTTTTACCCTTATTAAACATTATGAAAAATTATAAAAAATAATTTTTTGTCCATATTTGGGGTAGAGGTGAAAATTTAATAAATTTTAAGATAAAATTAATGAGGTATAATATTTTTCTTAATTATAATGAAATATATTAAAAGTAATTTCTAAATAACAGCACCAGGAGTACTTCAAATGTTATCTTCAAATTATGCTAATGGCTAAGAACGTTCTTCGTACGTGTCTTTGTGCATTATACTGAAATATTTAAAATTGTTAAGATACGTATAATAGGAATAAGTATACAATACCATGATTTGCTACAATAAATAGAGAGTAATACAATATTTATATTTTCTACAAAATATTTAAAATAATTATTAATTTATAAAATTAATTATTAACAAAAGAAAATAATTGTATCTTTAATATTTATTAATGCACAAATTACTTTCTTTAAAATTGTATCTCTTATTATTTTTAATATTAAGAAAAAATAAAATTTTGTAGGAGATAATTATGGGAAAAACATATAAAGGCGTTTTAATCAATCAACTAGTAAATCATTTTGCAATCTAATTAATTAGTAAATAAGTACGCAAGGGCATTACGAGCACCGAGCTCATCACCCCTATGGGTGTTCTGTGGCCTTTATTTTCTCCCAAATAATCTTTCTCATTAATTTAAAATTATTTTTAAATATTTTTATATTATATTTATCAAAATAAAAGTTATAAAAAATTATAATATTAAATATGGACTATTCAATAAATATCTAGATAGTTAATAAAATTATAAAAATTTTAATATTAAATTAGTCCTTTTAGATTATATCTATATCATTCAAAGTACGTTTGAATAGTCAATATATATATATATATATTATTAAAAATAATATCAAATTAAGTCATATAGATTAAATTTGTATTGATCAGATTGGTGATAAATAAATTTATTAAGATTTCTACATACTTTTTTAAATATTTTATTTAATAAATATAAATAAAATTAAAAAGTTTAAATTTGGACTATTTAAATCTCATCAAGAGTGATGAATTAATAAACATAAAAATAGTTCATATTTAATATTATAACTTTTGTTATAATTTTAAATCAACGGCATTGATGATTTGAAGAAATATAAAGGGTTTAAATTACGCTTGTAGGCACGGTGCTAATGCGTTTCCAAAATAAGTACCGTGGTCCCGGGTCCGAAGCCTTCTTCTATGAAAATTGCCTTCTGTAACCAAACGCGTCAGTTCATTTTTCTTTTCGTGTAAAGGGAATGACGCTGTATAACTAATACATTAATCAATTTAATTACTGGCATAATTTAAGGCCAAAATATTTTGAAGTTTTATAAAAGATCAAAGGTTTTTTTTTATCTGAGTGTGTTCGTGGTTGAACAATAAATATCAGATATATCAGAGACATTGGGTCTTAAATAAATAATGAAAGGGTCTAGAGTTCCCTTACCACAGTTCATTCAGATGTAAAACCTATTTGAACGACGTTTTATATTTAGTCCAAATAGAGTATAATAATGGAAAAATTCATTAGCTCAAATGAAAAAAATGTACAAGGTTCCAAAATAAAACTTAAAAGTAGAAACTAAGAAAAATAACATCAAAGACTTGTAAGTAGAAAAGGATCTTAAAATGTGATTAATAATAGTACCAATTTGGAAAAGGGAAGTAGGACACTATCAGGGAAAAGATCAAAGGTCTTTAATAGTTATATGTGCGCGCCCGTATGGATGGTCAACAAAATAATTATATATACATACATATATATATATATATATAATGAAATTGTTTTAGGACAAGACTTATGTGCTAATTAGTATTCTATGCTTAATATATTTTTATCTAATTAAATCAAGATACATGAATTTTAATATGTTAATACTATTAATAATAATAATTTATTATAGAATAAATAACCTATAAATATAAATATATATATATATATGTATCTTGATTTAATTGAAAACATATGTTTTAAGTATATATGATTAAAAATATAAGTAGTTATCATTGCTTTATGGGTTGGTGATTATTTTTTCCTCTCAACTACATTGAGAGGGTCATTAGGTATTTTAAAATTAATCATGAATCAATTTTATTTTTTAATGTAAGAAATTCAGTCCTCAATGTCCCTGACATTATTATTCTATTATGTGGGTCCTACGTTTAATTTTTTTATTATAAAATATTGTCTATCGGGACCAACCAATATTTTTTTATAATATGAAAAATACCTCTCTTTCCTTTACTTTTTCTCTCCCTCGTCATCATCTTCAACCATCAACCCAAACATTGGCAACTTTGATGGAAAAGGTCATGGCCACATTGGAGACAACACAGGTGACAGAAGGGACATGGTCAATGAAGGCAGCGATTTGAAGGCAACACACATTGGTGGCCACCCTACCATTACCAGCACACCAGCGACCCCTCATCTTCTTTCTTATTCTTGTTCGTTCATCGCGCTGTTCTTCCTTCAGTGCAAGCACACAGGTAGCCTCCCCTATACCTTGCTATTCTTGTACCATACTGACGAGCTGTTCTGATCGTCTCCTCCTCCATCGTTGCATCTGTGATCATCAATCTTTGAGAACAACCTCTTCTCATTCTTCTTCTTCATCCTTTCCCTCCTAGGATGACCTAGCCTCAAGTCCAAATCCACCATTTTTTTCCACCATCAAAACCGCATGAATAATCTTCTCTCTTAACTTTCCCTAAAAACTGTTGGGAATTATGTTAGATAATCTAATTTGAGTCATGCTTGAGGACACTGTTTTTAAGAATTCTTACACCATGTAAGTTAAATGCAACAACTCCCTAAGGTTAAACGAATCCTTCTTATACACAATAGGGTGCCAAAACAATAGAAGTACACACGGGAA